TGCCGGCTGAGCACATGTGGAGCCATCTGTATGTAACAAAATTCACCAAAAACTACAGGGGACAGAATATAAATCTGGGGCGAATGGGTTAAATGTCCCGAATCAGAAAGAAAAAAAGAAAAAGCCAAATGCAACATGAAAATGTAAACTTTTTATGGAAATCCACTCCTAATAAATATAGAATGTTAAATGAGAATACTTTATGTCATTCTTGATACAAACCCTTACACTATTCATGAATATAAAAATAATTTTTCAATTCTTTTCTCATGCAGAGATCAACTACATAACATCCATCTTTCATAATAAAAGAACTCTTATTTACATATCACTAATAGTGCTAAATTTTTTTACAAAAATATTTTAGGCCCATTCTATGCTATAATTTCCATCAAACAGTGATGATGATACTTAGGCAATTGTAATGAACAAGTAACTGCCATACCTGTGTCCTTCCTGAAAAAGTGAGAATTCCACCTCTGTTGGTTCTAGCACTGTAATAAGGGTAGGTGTCAAAGCCCGTCGATCAGCTATTGAAGGCAAAGTTCCAGTCACACGTACTTCAGACCAATTACTATGAACTTTGCAGATATCAATACAGTCAAAATATCTGTAAGAAAAAACATATCATTCTATTATAAATAAACTGTAAGTGATTCACTTTCTTTCTTTCTACAATTCAGGGATTGCATAACCAGAAGGACAGTTAGAAAGATGCATTGAAATACACACTTCCCTAGTTGCTTTGCTTTGCAAAAACAATAAAAATTGCTTATATCATCTATATACATAATTGCAAATTTACTACTCTAAAAAAACTACTCACTTAACAAGTTTATTAAATGTGTCAATACTGGCATACAGTATTCTTAATTCATCCTAAAACTATGCTTCCAGCTAATCAATCTAAGACAAAACTATTTGTCTGAACTATTTTGGGTTTTAATTAATGATTAGCTATCACTAAAAATTCTTCCATGCCTGAAGTTGGAGTACTTAGCTGAAAAATAAACATTTGGCAATACCATGTGCTGATAGTTAATATTTTCTGGCATTAAACTGCTTTTCAACACTGTTGTAAATTAGGGAATTTATAAAGTTGTCAATGAAAAAAGTATTGGAAAATTTATATAAACTGAAGAAATAGTCAGAGTGGATATGTTTAGCTATATAAAGAAAATGGCATACAGCAATGAAAAGGTTGCTTCAAACCTCCATCTACACTTACTTCAGCACATCCTGAAATGATATCCAAAACACTCCATCATCAGCCCCGTGCGGCATCAGCTTCTCCCTCAGCTCTTGCGTCCAGACACTCGAGTCATCACACCAGTCTCCTCTCCAAGAGTAGTGGCCCCAAGGATTACGCAGCTGTAGCAGCCTAAAGCCTCCAACGTCTTGCACATCAAGAACAGAATAAGCATGTCTGAAAAGTCACAACAAATAATTAAGATGACTTCCATTTCACTCTCTTCAGTGTCCATGGGCATGTGCTTGTGTATATCTATATGTGTATGTGTGGGTAAATATGTAGATATATAAATCATTAAATATTTTAAGAAATAGACAGATATGTAGACTGATATTTTCCTTTAAATTTAATTATAACTGCCCAACTACTTAAGACATATTTACCAAAAAATCAACCTCTGGAAATTGCTCATCCTTTTATACATTTAAGATTCGTCAGTGTCAATGCAATTTAGCATATCAGTGGCATCTACACACTAAAATGAAGTGTAATTCACTCTAACTTAAGGAAGAAAATAGAATAGAACCAAGCAGCATCTCAAAGGGCATCCAGTTATTTTTATTACTGTACCTAGCAACAAGAGCATATAAAATAATAATGCAACTATTAAATCACCTGCCCTTTGCTTCCATGCAGCCTAAAGTCTCATTATAAAGCAAATAATGTTCTCTATTAGATACTAAAAATAGGAGACAACTTGTAACTTATTCATGCTCCAAATCAAACAACAGCTCTTGAAACAAGATAGGGGAGTTTCTCAAGGAATACAAGCCTTCCTGATGCAGTAGAATAAGGGTCACAAATTAACTGGTTTCTTTAACCCCTAAAGGCTGCACTGCCTCCACCAGGCATCTCTATACTCTCCTGTCCATCAGGGACCACAACAACCACCAACCTAACCCATTCTGTGGACTTCCTCTACTTTCCTTATGTCACCACCAGCCTTGGGTGAGCTACTGGCAATGTTATTTTACTTCTCAATATCTATTTTATATATACAGAAATACATTCTAAATACACAACTCATTACTATATAAATTACCATGAATTTTCCTTTAATTTCATCATATGTTTTTATCAGGATGTTTTAGTGTTTCAATTTGCATTCATGTGCACAAAGTAACATTTCTATTTTGTTGCTCAACTATTTGTCAAACCAGCACAAGACGTGTATTTTCTGGTCTAGAGACTGAGCTTTTCAAATAATAAAGATCCTATTAGTCCACAGCAAAGTTTACAATTTGAGTT